GGGCTGCACTTTGCCCCTCCAGCCAGGAAGCACACTGAGTGGCCTTTTGGGCTGGATTCCTTCACTGCCTGACCCAAATTGGACCAACTGCTACTTCAGACCTATCCTCTTCCTTCCTAAACCTGGGATTATCCTCCCTTTGATCAGCCGACCCTGCAGCGCAGGATTTCCAGCACAGGCGCTTTGGCTGGCTGCATTTAAACAGCTTCCCAGATTCTCCGACAGCCCAAGTCCTCCCTTGGAAATGGCCGTGGACACAAGTTCCAGCAAAGCTCCTGGCCCTGGGTCTGCCCTCCTCGGACATCCCACTGCCCCTGGGCTGGGCACCGTCATGGCAACCTGTGGTGGGGCTGCAGCTGACATCCCCACACCCCAACCAGAGCAGAGTGAGCTGCCAACCTGGACACTGCAGGCTCCTGCTCCCCACTCCCATCACCTCCCCAGAGGGTCTGCACCAGTCCAGCCATTGTTGGGCTGCTGGGGCTGGAGCCCTTCCAGCCCTGGTCATGTGGCTCGCACAGGCTGTCCCGAGCAGGACCTGAGCGAGGACATTGCTGGCCTTTCTGATAAAAATGGCTTAAGTGGCACCCAGGGCTTCAGCGGCTGTGCTGGTCTCGGCAAATTGCTGGACATCCAGCACTGGAACAGCCAGGACATGTGGAGGGGGCCTGCTGGCATGCAACAGCTCTGCCACCCCCAGGTTGTGTCCATTGTCCCCGCAGACAGACCTCGTGCTGGGAGTTCAGCATGACCCTTGGCACGGGGGGGACAACTCAACTCCCCACAACAGCTGCCCTTGTCATGGGTGTGGGGGGCTCTGCTGAGCCCCTTCTTACAGACAATCCCTGCTCTCCCAATCCCTCCACACTCCTGCTTCCTCCAGCCCTTCAACCGCCATCCCATAGGGCACCATCTCGCCAGGCTCAGCTCCAGGGACAGTCTGCCTGGTCCATCTGTAGTGGCACTGAGTCCAGCCCTCCTGCCAGACCCCGGGAGAGCAGAACTGCCTGCTGCCACGCCGCCGGCACTGCCACAATGGAAAACGGTGAGTGGAGGAGAAACCCTGGTGCTGCAGAGGGCAAGGGGAGGGCAAGAGCCCAGGGAAGGGCACGGCTGGGGGCCAGTGCGGCAACCCCAG